AGAATTGACTTCTCTTTTTGGTCAGAACAGGGAGAAGTGGGAGCTAAAGAGGGAGAAGTGGGAATTAATCAGGGAGAAGTGAGACCGAAACACAATATATATATATATATATATATATATATATATATATATATATATATATATATATATATATATATATATATACAGAGAGATGAAATTTTCATATTTTAATGATGGGCTCCATTTCTTGGTATGCTTTTAACAGTTTTAAGCAATGCCTTTTTTTCAAGTTGAAAAATATTTTTTTTTGTGAGTATCAATATATTTTGTACGAGTATAAAAAATTATATTCATACCCATTCTATTCATACTTAGTATATGTGTTTTTGAATTGAAGTAAATGCAGTTTATTTTGACTGTATGACTTAAAAATCACATATGAAGCTTTACATTGCAATTAATTTTCACTGATAGAAGTAACAAGATTAGAGCCTTGTAAATGCAAGTTGGTAAAAATGCTTAATAAACTACCACTTAATTATTTTATTTTTCTTAAGTTTTGTCAAAAAGATTTCTAGAATTCTTTGAAACAGCCCCTAATACATGTACATATGAATAAATGCACAGGTGACTTCAAACCACTGTTCGTCCTGATTTTATTGTTACGGATAAAAAATTAATGTAACTATTCATAAACAACACACTGAAGCACTAAAGTTGATATATAACTAAACTAGACCCTATTTTTTTTACCCCCAACCAAAAATCCAAGAATTGGTTTTGCACTGAGCGAGTGCATCTATTTTTAGACAGGGGGGGTGTTCTTGAACTACACACTTTCTTGCTTCGTTACAAAAACCCATTAAAAGTTCTGTATATGTATGGTTTGTCTACCTACTGGTAATAATGACATGGATTGGTTAAATATTATTTGTTTCATTACTATATATATTTTTCGTACTTTCACAGTTTAATGAAGTGGTATATCAAATATGCAGCGATGTCCGCCATTAAAATTTCATTTACGGTTTCAAACTGATTTTATACAGAAAATACGCAAATAGAGCTGTTAAAATCTCCATTTATTAAAAAAAGGATATAAATTAGAAAACGCTTTTCACCTATCATATTTTTAAAAGCAAATTACTAATTGCATATTGATGTTTAAATTTCGAAACAGAATTTGGCATCTTTTCATCATAGCACAGTAGGCCCAAGTTCATGAAATCAAGCAGTGATATCTTGCTCCCTAAAAGGATTAATGGTCATTTAGCTACTAAAACTTGCATGTGAATGTGCAAGAATTTCTTTGTTGCCATAAGCTGATTGGTATCAATACCACGTAAATACATTTGTCCTTGGGTTTACAGCAGTGCCAGAACTTACTGGCTACAGCGAGGGAGCATCTCAAAGTTGTAATCTACAGTCATATTACGTCCAAAAAATCAGAGGGCGAAGTCATTTTCGATTTCATAACAAAAGAAGGCGAAGTTTATGCTTCTCAGGCGACTTTTTCGCCCACTTCGCCTGGTAGCGTGACCCCTGCAGGCTAAGAAAAATATTGATTATAAAAGTATGATAATTTTAAAATGTGCAGAAATTGTCTACATCTGGGTCTTTCAACCTTTTCAAATGATGAGCCACAGTGTAATTGTTTCTCACTCACAGGACCATTTATAAACTGGTCTACATTTTCTACTACCAGTTACCACATGTTATGAAAGGCTGGCAGGCTGGAAAGAAACCTCTGGCAGGTCAGATTCTGGCCAATGGGTCATTTGATGGATAATCCTGGTCAACCCGTACATTCTATTAAAGCCTTAATGGATAATCCTGGTCAACCTGTACATTTACATTCTATTAAAGCCCCAATGGATAATCCTGGTCAACCCGTACATTCTATTTAGGCCCCAATGGATAAACCTGGTCTACCAGTACATTCTATTAAAGCCCCAATGGATAATCCTGGTCAACCTGTACATTCTGTTAAAGCCAAAATGGATAATCATGGTCTACCCATATATTCTATTTAAGCCCTAATGGATAATCCTTGTCAACCTGTACATTCTATTAAAGCACCAATGGATAATCCTGGTCAACCTGTACATTCTATTAAAGCCCCAATGGATAATCCTTATCAACCTGTACATTCTATTAAAGCCCAAATGGATAATCCTGGTCAACCTATACATTTTATTAAAGCTCCAATAGATAATTCTGGTCTACCAGTAAATTCTATTAAAGCCCCAATTTATAATCCTGGTTAACCAATACATTCTATTAAAGCCCCAATGGATAATCCTGGTCAACCTGTACATTCTATTAAAGCCCCAAAAGATAATCCTGGTCAACCCATACATTCTATTAAAGCCCCAATGGATAATCCTGGTCAACCCGTACATTAAATTAAAGCCCCAATGGATAATCCTGGTCAACCCATACATTCTGTTAAAGCCCCAATTGATAATCCTGGTCAACCCGAATGCATTCTATTCAAGCCCCAATGCTACAGCTTCATGAAAAAAAGTAGTTTATGCCAAATCATCTGAATAATACTGACTCTTGCAAGATATTGGTCCTAAACATTATTGGGTTCTATTAAAACCATGTAATATCAATGTTTCATCACATAAACCAGATAATATCAACTTTTCATCACATTTGTGAGCCATGTAATATCTTTCAAACTAAGAAACCCAGCCTTTATACACATGTTCAATCGGAGGTTAATCAGTGATATCCATAGGTAAACTAAATTCAGGAGAAAGCTGCAACACAAAATTTGATGTCATAATTTTAAACTTACGAAACTAACATCACACTATGTTGAATGTCTCAAGCCCAAGGTTATGCTTTACTGTATATTTCAGTGCCCCAAATGATCACAGGGATTGAGATGGGATCTGCCAATGATGGAATTTTTTTCCTTAATGGTGACAAAATATACCATCTGGTGATTTTTAGGGGTGACAACATTCTTGGCTGTTAATACTGGTTTGGAGTGGAGAAATTCAAAGGTCCCATGAAAGGAAGCCCCAAATTTGGATGTAAAATGCACTGAAATATATTGTTACATAAACAAATCCTTTGTTCATATTGACAAACCATCCTAACAATCTGCTAATGCCTGGCTTTACAACTGTATCCTGTGATATAACTCTTATAGTCATGTTACTGGACTATCTACAATTGACCACCTCTAATGGCAAGTACAGGAATGACTACAATCGACCATAGTGATGACTAATTATTTTCCTTTTTTTTTTACATATACCAAAAGAAGAAAAAAACAGCTCTTAAGGAACTTCAAACAAAAGTGATTACATTTGAAGCACCAATCGTTCTTTATAAAAAATACTAAGCAAATAAAAATAAAATTGTGTCCTTATCAATGTTCTATAATTATCAGTTGCTGCTGCTGCAATAACAAAGGAGCATTTGTTTGGTCCTCCAAAGATGGCCTTTAGCTGTGCCTTCAAAAACACATGCAACTTTGTCAAAGCAAGCCAACTACATGTACACTCTTCAATAAATACAAAAAAAACTTACATCAAAAAAAGTCAGCACCTAACTTACATAGCCTCATCCTCTTGATAGCTTCCACGAGATGATAGTTGTTTCCAGCTGACCAAAATCAAGGCCAATTTAAGTACATGTACACATAGCATGTAAACAACTATACAGTTATGTGTTACTTGTGACCTGTTGGAATGTGACTGATACATGAATTCTCTAACATATGATGAAGTACTTGAATACATGGATTTTTTATATACATGAACTTTTTTTAACACATGTAGCATATTATACAAACGTAAGTTGTCAGTATGCAAGGATATTTCAGACTAGTTTTGTCTTCATTTATTAAAAAATAACGTAAGTTGTCAGTATGCAAGGATATTTCAGACTAGTTTTGTCTTCATTTATTAAAAAATAACGTAAGTTGTCAGTATGCAAGGATATTTCAGACTAGTTTTGTCTTCATTTAATAAAAATTTCCATTGGTTACTTTCTCTGTAGGTTCTAGTCACCACTGACAGGCTCAGCTGTTAAAAATTTCATAATTTTTTCAAACCCTACCCCCAAACACTTCTCTGAACATCCACTTAGGTCAACAATATTAACTTGGTAACAAAGATGTTGGCATAATCTGGTTGTACTGTATTAGGAAAATAGCGACACTTTTTTTGAAAATTGGCAACAAAATATTGAGGCTGGTTATTTTTTTTGGACAACAAAGTTTTTAAAGATTAAAAGCCAACCCTGGATCACCAATGCTCGCCCTAGTCTTTGTTTTTTAATATAATGCATTTTTTTCCTTCTTCGATCTACTTTTTAAAAAGTTGGTATACATTCTCTTTATTCACTCTTGATTCAACATGTGGGTAACATGCAAATGTTGTTTTTGCATTAGTCACAAACAAAACTTGTCAAATGTATCACATTACTATTTTTAGAGCACTCAGGAGAAAGATCCAAATTAGGAGCAACTTCTTTCATGGAATTTAGAGGTGTCACTTCTTAATTCTAAACTGAATATTTGAACATCATTTAAAACTAACATCATGAGGGCATTTCAATGGCCCAAGGTATGCACCACCTTTGTCATCTCTCATGACACCTGGTAAGGCCAATCATTTTGCAGGACATGTAAATCCTCTATAAATTTGTAAATCCCAGAGTGGAATTTTCAAGGTTAGTAGCATACTTCTTTCAAAATATTCAAGGTTTTTTAAAGGTTTTTCAAGGTTAAAATATTTTTCAAGGTGCATTCTTATGTTAATTTTAAAGAATACATCAATGAGAGTGTGTGTGTTTATGATTTAGATTTTTAATGTTGCTTAACAATTTTCAGTCATATCACTATGATGTCTACAGTGTGGCAGTTTAGTGTCAATTCTAGCACTGGGGCATCATGCCACAGACGTGGAACATTATCCTGACACCGGGCCGACCAGTCCTAACACTAAACTCTTATTCTCTTATTGCTTAGTGCCAAGCAAGGCAGCTGTTAGTACCAATTTTATAAGTCTTTGGTATGACTCAGCTGGGGATCAAACTCATGACCTCCTGCATCCGAGGTGGACACTCTAACCACTAGGCCACCAAAGCAGTTGATACATCAGTGAAACTATGTAAACATAAATATTTACTATTTCTTCTTACGAGGAACATTTCTTGCAAATTAATTATTTTTAAAAAAACATGAAGTCAAGATTATGATAATTGATATCATTTCCATTATTATTAAACATCCTACATCTAAGCATTAGAATAATGTAGTCACTGAACAATGTTCATTTTACTCTGTCTACATGACACTATTATATTTTAGAGTGAATTTTTTCAGTTCTTGTAGCTTGTCATCAATCTGTTTTTCAAGAGCTCTAAGTTCAGCGAAATTGTCCTTTACATTTTTCCTTAAACTATTTGATGCTGTGATAAAGGAATTTCTCCAGTCTCTGTTTCCAATGCAGTATACAGCAGCAGTTGACATTGTCTCAATGTCTTTTTCAGTACCTGCTTTTCTTCTTCACCCATCCCAATAAAAAAAATTAACAAAAATGTTTTTTATATGTTATCACTTACATAAAAACAGAGTATGGATATTTTAAACTTTTTGTCAGATTAGCCTAATTCTATATTTTTTTTATTTATCATATTCATTGCAATTATCTTCTGTCCTATTTCCACTCAGTCCAAAAGAACAACCAGATCAAAATAATTTCATAATAAAGACTTTTAGACAGTTTTATTGTAAAACATGAATCTCTGTTCACAAATACTACTTTCGTTAAAACAATTTTATGCTGAAGGCTTCAATGTTTTGCCTATTAGCTGTAATGGATGGGTTTTTTTCCAGCTGCATGTGACTGTGAAGCACTCTCTCCCACTGCATGCAAATCAATATCCTTCTGGCATAATTTGCATTTTGCAAAGCTCTCATGATCTGAAACTTTATATTTTATCTTCATCTAGTTTGAAGTTGGAATCGGCAACAAGACATTTCAAAGTGTACAAATGGTCTGAACTTAAACTTCAGCTACATCCAGGCTTCATACAGTTGGAAGTTCAAAATGTATGACTGCGCAGTGGCCAGGAAATTTCTATTCCCACATAAACTTAGCAAGAGATCATTTTGTTGTGGGTTTTTTATTCTTTTCCTTTTCCTCTTTATTTAAATCTGTAAAAGGAAAACTATTAATTCCTTTCAGTTTCAAGAAAATCAGGGCTTTTCAAGGTACACAGACATTATTTTGAATTTTCAAAGTATTTTCAAGGCCTTGAGGAACAAATTCATTTCTCAATGTTTGCAAGGTCCACTGTGGACCCTGAATTCAACTAAAACAATCTGATAAAATACCCAACAAGTTCTGTCCATGTTCTCAAGCAAAATCAATTTCTCTGCACTCATATTATCTTTAGTCACACAATCTCTACCTCTCTACCAAGGACTGCTGTACATTTTGTGTATCCTCACCAGACCAAACTTGTTTACTTCGCATGTTCTACAATGCATAGATCTCAACCTATTCTCTGTATCACTTACATTAATTACTTCAAAGCGTGGCAATGACTGTTGTCTCAAAAATCATGTTTCTTATGCAACTTGTTTACATTATAGTTGATTTAATGTCATATCATTCAACAAATTAATCAATTACATCTGTGGAAATACTTCTCACTTTTGATGAGTCATTCTGTTAAAAAACACTACAGTAAATATTGTTGAATTTTTAAATAGACTTTCAGGCCCCAAAGGTTTTCTCCCTTGTTTTCCCAACAATTTTAGCATTAGATATTATCTGAACACTTGATTAAATGCATGAATGAGCAGGCAAGCACTCTGTAAAAATTTAACTGGTTTATTCTACATACTAAGTCCAACTGCAAACTTCACAAGCTCAGATCTGAAATCACAAATTGTTATGCAATGCTGTTCAATATCATCAGGGATATTTTCAGTATTTCGTGTCAGCTTTCAGTATTTTTTACAAATGAGCATCAACAGTAATGCACAACATTACTGACACATCTTTGTTACATCTTGTAACCAAACTCGCCAAAAACAATGATCCATACTGTAAAAATGATGCAAAATATTTTGTATTTACAATATTCGAAACACGTAACATTTCAAAATAATTTATTAATGATCATCAGTGTTGAGCTTAGATGTTGAAGGCTACAGCAAAGCAGTGACGAGTACAGTGCTACATGTATGCTGGAATCAGGATCATTGACTTGTCTTATTCATTTCATAGTAGCACTTGTAGTTGTTCAACTGAGTGCTGGCGTTAGGATTCAAATGGACAACCATGTTTTGATTTAATAATGAACAATGCTTCTAGAGTGTCGTCTCTCATTGATGACCTCTGCTCTGCTCTGTTCTTACGCACAGTGGAGAAGATTCTCTCACAGTGGGTATTACTGTGTGGGAATGATTGATATTCCTCGCATTATAACTGCAAGTTCGCTGAGGAACAATGCTTCCTCTTCATTCTTCTTATTGTCAAAATGCATCCCAAGGTTTCATCCATTCTTGGTCTTGTGCAGGTGGATGGGTCTGTATACTGATATATAGCAACCTGCTCAACAACAGTGTCAGTAAAGCAACCAGGAGGCTGTAGTACTGAAAATCTATGCAGAAAGAATGTCAGATCTTTCAATTTGGCTGTTTGTTGTCAAAAAGCATCTGCTACAGCTGCATGTCTCAAGACTAGTTCTTTGAGAGGAAGCTTCACTTACGCCAAAGTACTTGTTGTCTTTTAAATTGTAGATGCTTTTGAAGTCAACGGCTTCAGGCACACAACTTAATATGACAGCTGGTTTGTCAAAGTCCTTTCACAATCTGGTTGACCAGCATTCTTCTAAGTGCATGTGTTTTCAGTTCATCTGACCGCCAAGCACACCACCATACATCTTGACAGCATTGTCCAGAAACAGAACATACAGCTTGTTTGTAGGCGATATCAGGAACTTCAGGATGTTTTCTACTTTCATGTGAGCGTAAGGTTTGTCACTGCTAACAGCAACCTGTGTTGAAGATGAAACTGACTTGGTCTTGATATCAAATTTTGCTTTAAAGAACAATTTTAAAGATTCCCAATTTTGTAGCAATCTCTCAAGGCAACAACCAATACTTAACAATCTGGTACAAACATGCTTGAGCATTCTCTCCTACTCAATGTCAATATAATCCTGAACAATTGAGAATTTGCACTGTCATTTGTTGCTTTTGTGGAAATAATAATATACATCCTGCATGATCTCAGCCACATCAGGTAAACTCTTAATTCCTTTTTGGTCTACATTGTGCACAACATGGAGGCAGCATCCTGCCAAGACTACACTGTCATGCTTATCTCTAATGTAGCCAATTACACCAATTTTGTTGGACTTGACTTATAATTAAGTGTGTGGGGAGAGGGGGTGCCTCTTGGTATGACTTATGAAAATTAACTCATCTCTTTATTACCTTAACCCCTAACCCACTCTAAAGAAGTTGAACATAACTTGAAATTTAAAATATACATTTAAAAGTGTTATTCATCAAAAAGATAATCTCCACCAAAAAGATGAAAAGCTGATGGTTTCTTTCTGGTAGATATTCTGTCCATTGCAGATGCATTTAAAGTTACATAGATGAGAAGACTAATAACAGCTAGATCTATATGGCAAGAAGATCTACCTTTCATTTCTATCATGTAATTTAAAAGACTGTGATCCTGAATTTCAAAATGAAGTGAGTGAATACCTTGAATAGATAATATGCCTTTTGGCAAGATATATGTGAACCGAGTGGATTTCTTCAAGCAAGATTTATAAGAATCTAGTAAATGCCTTCTAGCAATATGCATTCAAAGCTTGTGCAAAATTCAATATGGTAAGCAGTAAACAAGACTAGTGAGCAACATTGTTATAAAAAAGAATGCTGAAGATGTGGAAAGCATATTTTTGTACAGAAGATGGTATAAAATCAGAATTAACATATTAATTACTAACTGAATAGCAAAAGAGCTTAGTAGTTTCTAAATATTATAAGATTTATAATAATAAGTTTTTTGCTAAGGTTTTTTTAAATCGTGTTTATTGTGACATTTGGGGGCCTCGAATGGCCGAGTGGTCGAAAGCGCTGTCCATTACGGATCACTGCCATCTCACCTCTGTCTGCGTGTGTTCGAGTCTAGGATTCCGCGAATGTGGATATGTGAGAAAGCTTGCCAGTAGCTTCTCGTGGGTCGGTGGTTCTTTCCTGTGATTTCCCGGTTTCTTCCTCCACCATTAAAACTGGCCACCATGAATAGCCTATCGTGTGCTGAAAAATGGCATTAAGCTGAAAAATGGCATTAAGCTCAACAACAAACAAACAATTAAGACATTTGAAACAATTGAATATAAGTTACCAAGACTCTCAAATATTAAATAGATGAAAGACAAACCAACTGGTGTTCTAATAAGGAACCTAATATGATTTATCACTGATTTTACCCAGAATATCATGTGTGTGTGTGTTCCATTAAATCACAAATAGAACCAGTGAACATTTGAACCCAATGGAAAAGTGCTTACCAACTTCTACATGTTCTCCTTCACTCTCCTGAAAAAATAAAACGAAAAATTTAATACAAACTCCATTGATAAAGTTCAGTTCATTGAAAACGTATTCTGTCCAAAAGAAATATAATTTATGTTTACACTATACTAGGCTTGAAATTAAGAATTCTATTTACTAGCCCAGAATCACTATAATCAATTTTTTAGTGATCCTGACTAAATTTTACATATCAAAAATCAAACAGCAGCCAGTTTACTTAATAATTCAACATATTCAATATTTATAACTCATAGCATCAACTCAAAACAGTAACAACTGTATTTCAGCAGCAATACTCACTACTGCAGATTTTGAGTAACAATAATTTTGAGTCCTATCTCATTTCAAATTTAAAGCAAGACTGGTCTGCATACCAATTGTTTTTATGTTTGTGCATTAAGACCAAACTCTAGTATATTGTTTGCAGTAACAATGTTATTAAGCGAACTCATTCCCATTTATTCATCCTCAAATAAATGTTGTCCTACTTCAATAGTAACTTGTGTAGGAAAAT